CCTGCCAGGGAGTGTCCTTTGTGTATTCAGGGAGCACGTACTGTCCTCCCACAGTTGCTTCATGGCCCCTCTGCTGAAAGGAAACCTCGGAGAAAGGGGCAGAGAGACATGGGGGTGTCCAGCCGGGGAAGTTGATGGTTCTTTGTTAAGGGCTTCTCTTAATTCTGAGCCACCGTATCTGAATTCATTCTAGTTACCACGGAAAAGTGCTCCCTGATACCAGGAGCATCATCTTTGTACCAAGAGCATCGTTTTCATTAGCAGCCAAGCACAGGCAATTGTGCCAGGAGCAGGGTAGGAAAAAGAGCGTGTCGAGAAGCTGCACATGAGCTTGTGTGTGAGGAGAGGGAACCAAAAACCCTGAGTGCTTGAAACGCCACAGGAGTGTGGCAGGCAAATTGGAGATGCTCAGGTGAGAGTTGTGTCTCAGCCTGAGTGCCCGGAGATCCATGTGAAAGGGAAGTAAAGCAGCTGTTTAAAAGTTGCTGGATCAGAGGCTATCTATCTGTCAAAAATACAAGGTAAATTAAGAAAAGTCAAACAGGTGCTGAAGAACACTGAATTTCCAGAAAGAAAGAAAGACAGGTAAAGTCCCCACAATAAAATTGAGTGAAAAGATGTTGGGGAAAGGCTGTCTCATCCAAGGGCATCTTGCAATAGGATGGTGACATCCAAAACTGCGGAAAATATTGATGGAATTTCCCAATTTAAACTTAGAAAACAATCAAACTGCACCAGAATGCAAAATAAAACCAAGGCTCTGAGTGTTGGAGGGGAAAAAGCCCTTATTATCCTGGAAGATATTAAATAAACCCCAGAAATAACAAAAATGGAAACGGGCAGAGGAGAATGGAAGTTAAAAGGTCCAAGGAGGAGTCTACAAAAGGCAGTCAGCATGCACTAACAGGGACCAGTATGTAGGGCTGCACAAGGAAATAACAGAGGCTGAAGCAGCTCCCTGCATTTGTAAAGAGACAGTACATGTGTCAGGAATAAAACTATTTCACAAAAACCCAAAGGCAAGGACCGAAAATGCTTACCAAGAAATGAAGTAAATGTATTTTCTACAACACAAAAGAATTATTTTGAAGACACTAAAGGGAGAGCTGTGTCAAGAGACTGGAACATCTACTTATTGGCTAAAATCTTAATATGCATTTACCAGGCAGTGAGGTATTAAGTTCATGTGCAGTAAGAAGAAAAATTAGAAAAATGTATTTTTGTTAAAGATGATTCAGAATGTACCGCACAGAAATAATTTCCCAGGCATAACTAATTTAGATATAAAGATAAAATAAAATATTGGAACTAAATAGCATATAATTGCTTTACAGCAGAAAATATATATTCCATGCTTGTAAACATGCCAGGGCTTGTTAGGAGGATGTGTACATTAGGTAGACATGTACTCACAGACACTATGATCAATTTAGAAACATTTTAAAGGTGTGAAAAGGAAATTGCTGTAATATGAGATGTAGTTGTACTGCCAAAAAAAAAAAAATCTACAAATGTTTCTTTAGTGCTCCAGCAAAAACATAGAGGGACATTTGATAAGTAGAACAGCAAAAAAAAAGCCTATTAAACGGCTTAATTCTGTGGTAATTACGGAAAATTAAGGTGTAAAAGTTAGCTTAGCTTTAGCTCCAGGGACTAATGCAATATTAAAATGGCTAAAATTGTATACTGTTAGCCTCAAATGAATGTAGATGTAGAAGTATATCAAAGAATGTGAAATGTAAAAAAACCTCAGAAATGCCCAGTAAAAGTTTGTAATGATAACTGTAGAAACTTAAGATCTGCAGTTGAACATGGCCTAGATTTGGTTGCATGTGCTTGAAAGAAATTCTGTACCAGTCTGGATTATTTTCTCAATTCACGGAAATAGTACTGTTCAAGTACTAAATATGTAATCTCATTTTTAAAAATCTATAAGTAATATCTGGTGTGTTTGTGATGCCATACTAAATATGATAACTGCTTATAAATAGTATCCAATTTGATTACTACAAGTTCAAACACTTTGCTAAAGGGTATGACTGTACCCATTTTCTATTGAGTATAGAGTATCCACAGTCTAGTATTCCTATGGAAAAAAGTACAGACATTTTAAAAGACTAGAGGGTTAAGCCCAAACTCTTCATTGGCATAGCTAAAAACATCTGAAACTAGTAAGTTTTCAATAAAAAGCTGAGAACTGGACTTCCTTACAATATAATGGGCAGTATTAAAAATGTGAATATTGTGATCTGTTACTTGCACAAGGGAAAAATAAAACTGAAAATGTTCTAGAGAAAAGCAGACTTGAGACACTGGCAAGCAAGGTGAAAAAAACTGGAGGCTTTTCTAAATTTTCATCAGGTTCCTGCAAGATGATTATTGAACATGATCAGGTATATAAAAGGAATAGTGAACATTTGAATTCTTACAGAAAAAGGGGAAGGGGGGGGAAAAAGAGAAGTAGGTGTTTCTACGTTAAAATACAGGATAGGCTGTTAAAATTTCACATGTTTGGAGGACAAACATTGTAGAGAGCAAATCCTAGGAGCTGTTCTGGAGAGTCGTGAAATGATGTTTGAAAATGCTTTGTGTAATCTTTTTTTTCATATGGAAGACAGAGTTGTAAAGATAATTGTCCCCTTCTGCAACTGGCATGATTGACCTACATAAGCCACTGATGTGAGGCAGTGCAAGATATACTGGGTTTCTGTCAATACTTCATTCTGTCCTAAGCTCCTTTTTTCCTTCCTACAGTCTTTTAACTCTATGTTAAAAGTACACCTTTCTTATAAGTTTTTGATTCAGAGTTCAGAGGTTTTGGTGTGATAGAGCACAATGTTTTGTACAGAAAATAAATTGAAGAAAAACAGTTTAAAATTAGACTATGTTAGTCAAATTAGATTATCTGTGAACTGGTGGATTGATTGTAGCAGCTTGGTGCATGTGTTATTTCTGGCTTAGTTACTCACACTCTTCTTTTCCAGTAGAATAGTGGGAGTGAGGCACTGAACAAACAAGACAGGGAACAAAAAAAATTTTAAACTTGAATTGCAAACTGAGCATTTCAGAGGATTAACTGAAGGTCTATTGGAAGCTGAATGAAAAGAAAATATGCAGTTATGGCACAGCAGTATGATTATTTCCATTCACTGTTTATCGTACTTTCTCCAGCAAATGAGATTAAAGCCACAAGGGCAGATATGAAATTTTGTTGGGAAGGTCACTTTTCAAAAATTATTAACTCCATGTGCACAAGAGCAGAAGGACTGGTGAGCATTTAATGGGAAACCAAAGCCCTATAACCCATATCAACACAATAGTTGCTGCAGCACTGTGGGGAAGCTGGGGATCTTGCACCGAGCACGTTGTGAAGACTGTTGCAGCCCCAGGGAGTCTGTGTTAACCAGCATTTAGATGGGAGGAGTGGGTCATCTCTACCACATGTATGGGGACCTGTGGAGAAAACAGTCCATAGATTATTTTCAGCCATAGATTTAAGGAAGCTGTGGCTCCCGGAGGTGAGTGGGATCCAGCTGACTCCAGGGACCAACCAGCCTGAGCAAAAGGATGAAGCTTAAGGACCTCCACTGAAAATGTTTTTCACAAAGTTCAGTGAACAAATTAAAATAACGCAAAACAAGCATTGCATAAAAGAAATAGCGGAGTATGATAAGCAGAAAGAGAGGATGCCCTGGTGGTTCCAACCAGCCTCAGCTGCGGCCTCCCCGCACCCCCGGGCCCAGGGGCTGGATTTAAGCTCAGCCCAGGGTGCTCAGGCCCTGCCTGGCCCGGGGGGTGCTGGTCTCCGGCTCAGCTCCGCTGTGGAGCCACAGGCCTCCACCCGTGGGTGATGTCCTGGCGTGGCCCGTCCCCATGGCCCTGCCCGGGCACCATGAGCCCGCGTCCTCTCAGCCGGAGCCAGACGCTGTCTCGGGCGCTGGGACAGGCCCTGCAGGAGCAGCCGCCATCGCTGCCCCCCGGCCCGCAGGCAGGAGCTTCTCCATGCAGGCAGCCTTCATTTGAGGAATGTTGCCCTGAGGAAGAGTCGCGGTTTCAGTGTCTAATCGTCAGTGCAAAGCTGTCCTATGACAAGCAAGTAAGCAGGTGAGTAGTGTATTTAATTTGACGCCCTGTTTCAAAGCCAGATGGGTCAAACCTTTGTCTCATGGTTGTGTTTTGTGGTACCTGACCCCTGCAGCTCTCTCCTGCTGTCAGTTCTGCCTGGGGAAGATAAAATGCTCAAGCCTGTGGTGATCAGTTGTCTGTCTCTTAACTCACTCCCTCCCCTTATCTCTCTTTTGGCCTGATTAAAAGCCTTGATTTGTAAAATTGTTTCATATACTGTATTTTAAAGATACAGATTTTTTTTTCCTGCTTCTTTTTTACATGATGGGGAGTGGTGGTTCCTGATATGCTACAGACAGACTGCTTTACCTGAAATTCTTCTGTTCCTCTTAACAAGAAACTTCTTGTTTTCATTCTTCTGTTCCTCTTAACAAGAAACTTTTTGTTTTCTTCCCCAAAGAGTGTCAAATATCCCCTAGATTAATAAGAGAACCTTTAAATTTAACACTTTAGACTCTGCAAAAAATCTCCATCCTTGGTCAGTCTTATACCAGAAGATCTAGTTCAGGTTATTTACAGAGAACCTTGGTGAAAGGACTGCCTGATATTAGTGATCAGCAGAAAGAAGGCCTCACTGCAGTGTAACGACTGCTTCTCTAATTCACTCTCCTAAAAATATAGTGCAGAGCTCTGCATAATCAGAAAAACATGCAGTAGTCACCATCCCATCAGTTCTGATCCATCTTTGTCCACTGGTTCAAATGATTTATTTATGGTACAAAACATTTTAAAATGATGTATCATTTTTCTTGGTTCCACATAATTTCAGCTTTTGTGGAATAGCTGGACCAGGAGAAACCCAGAAACTACAGCTTCTGAACATGTATCAAATTCAGAAGAGCAAGATGCCTGAAGTTCTCCCTTTTTTGCTCCAGGCAGATGCCAGAGGAGTCATGTAGGAGGAAAAAAAACTGGCAGAAGATTCAGATATGAAGATTGCTAGTTCTCTGAGTAAAGACATCAGTCTTGCATTCCTGGGTACAGGAGGACTCTCAGGTAACTTTCTTTTTCACAACTAACTTATTTTCAGTAGGCACGTCCAGTGCTTTACTCCTACCGGATTTTCCCTAGGGTGTGGGGGCCTATGTTTAGGGCAGACTTTCTCCTCTCATTGTTTCTGTATTTTTCATCTGCTTTCCCAAATCGAATTTCAGCCAAATCCCTGCAAACAGAGTCTAAAACCTCCATCAGACTTCTTGTAATTTTTTTCTGGTTGGAAACTTCTTAGGTGTCTGGTATCTCCCTTAAAGAGAGGACAGGGATTAAAATCAGCAATGTTAAGCCTGCCTTACAGTTATTGTCCCAGAGCTTCCCAATTACTTAGGCACTTAAATACCTGATGATTGTTCAGATCTTCCACATTAGTCTGTTTCTATTAGCTATGTTGCTTCAAATTAAGATGGTACAGAGATAGTGCTAATTATCAGATACAGTGATTAGTGTGTTTTCTCACTCTCTGGAGTCCGAGCCTTCACCTTCTAATCTTGAAGTCAAAATAAACATCTGTTTTTCCTTCTTTATGAGTACCTCTGGCACTAGGTCTTCAATTTTGCATAGATTTTTGGCAGGGAAACTAAGGGTACTTCCTGTGACAAAGACACACTAAGGTACCTTTACCAAGAGTACATATGGTAGTAGGAATATCTGGATATCCATATGTGCTTGCAGTGATTACAAGGAGAAAAATGATGCAAAATGGGATCTCTTCTTGCAGAGGCCACTAAGTCCGTTTTAGCAGTATTTGATGTTGGCAGCTACAAGGACTGGTGAAACTCATACTGGGCTGTATACACCAGACCATGGAAGGCAACCTGAGTTCAGAATGCTTCTCAGCAGCATGGATGTAGCCATTTTCCAGTCCTACTGATTTTGTTGTGAGCATCAGGGTAGAAATGTTGGACTTATAATGAATGCTCAAGTATTGCTTTGGGTGGGAGAAGTTTTGGAAGGCCATCTTTGGATCTTTCAGTGTAACTGGGAGCTGTGTTCAGAGGGCTATTTCTTTACCTTCTTATAGTATGTTGTCACTTTTACAAAGATGTAAGCAGAAAATGGGTGCAGGAAGACAGAACAAGCAGCTTTTAAAGGCAAGTCTCTGATATTGAGTCAAAATGACAGAAGCAGCACACAGCTATGGTGCTCTACCTGCCAGCAAAAGAAGGAATTTAGAGCAAAGAAGTCAAGTGTCTGAGACACATAATGAAAGCATGCAACCTCTAACATTTATGCTGCTGCCTCTATAAGCCTCAGAATGATCATGCTGGCTCAGACCAAAACTCATGTAGCTCTGTGTCATGTCCTATGAGGACCAATAGCTGGTCTTTAAAAAAAGACAAAAGAAACAGAGCTGCTTCAAAAATTGCTTCTGCAGTATACCCACCTTGGTTTAAAAAAATTCAGCGGTTAGGAGCTACTTAAGCTGAAGATGGTACCACTTACTACTTCAGAAAAGGACTTTCTTCATCAAAGCAACAGCAGACTAAACCATGCTTATTCAGCTTCATTATGGAAGGGAAGATTTGTCTTTAACAAGCTGAAGGAAACCAAATCACTAAAGATTTTAAGGGTTTTTGCAAAGCTTATTTGGATATCTGCAAGAATGTTATGCAAGCAGTAGCCTGAGACTCTGTCTGCAAAAAGAAAAATACCCTCTGCCCTTGTGTTCCTAATTAAGTTTTTATTCTTTGAAACTTTCCCCAAATGGCTCTTCCTTAGGATGTTCCTCAAACAGCACTGAGTAACAAAAGTGACATTAAAGATAGAGCAGTCAATACTTTCACGCACAGCATTCAGTGATGTGTTTGACTCTAGTAGATTAATACAACTTGTGTAGTGCAGGGCACTTCCACTCATTTGAGCAATGTCCCAGCCCCTTTCTATATGCTACAGAAAAACATGTTAGAGTAAGTAATTTGATCTTTCCATAGGCTTCAGTTTCCCATTTTATTTAACAAGGATTCAAAAGTTACTCAATGCTTTTCAAACACACGAAGATAAAGTGATAAGCAGTAGCAAGGATTGCCCTTAACAGTCATATACAGGTAAATCCTGTGGTTTAATGACCACTTCAACAAATCTTTGAGAGCTCAAATACATTCTTACCAAGTTGTTTGCAAAAGCCCAGCCTATTCTCTTTTGAGATACTCAGTTATTGGTGTAGGAGGAAACCTTTAAACAAAATCATAATCTTTCTTGTTCCCCAGTTTCTCAGACAGTTGTGTATGTATTAGACTGCACAGTGCATGCACGCCTTTCTCACTCCTCTGCAAAGGTTGGAGTCTTCTGTGTGGCAGAAAAAAAAAGACTACTCTTGTGAAACTTTTGGTGTTAAGAGGAGGAAATGTCCTCTTCATCTCTTTGAAGGGATTCTTGCAGTCCCTCCTCCCTATAACATGCTGGCTTTCAGGGAAGCTCTGAGGTGCTAGCCCAAAATATATTAGCCTGCCTTTTCCACAGAATTGGCCTGCGAACAGCCCTCTCCCTTTCTCCTTGGAAAGTTCCCTGTTCACACCATTGTCAGATTCCATGGGGAGTGCTGGCTGTGGTCACCCAACCTAGTGCTTCGAGAAATCCCCGATTTCTTCCCACCCAGGAGTCCCTGGCTCTAGATTTTGCCATTTCCCCTCTCTATCTCCAGTGGTGATGTGGCAGTGCGCATAGCAAAACCGAACTCCCTGCAGGTCATCTTAATTAACTTCCTGGCCATCCAGTCCTTCGAGGTGCAGCGTATGGTCCAAGGCAGTCTCTCCATCAGGCTGTGGCTTACTTAGAGGGGGCACACTGTGGCACGGTGGCTCGCTCCTCCCAGGAGCAGATGAAAGAGTAATGAGGAAGGGCCACCTTAACTGCAAACATCAACTGCAGTGTAGTCAAGGGGTGCTCCCTAGACACGGCAGTGGCAGGCTCACTGTTGCAGCAGACTCTCATACAGGATGGTTTGGGCTGCTTAGCACAAGCCAGGTTTTACTTGTGTGATAAGTGCTGACAGGCCTGAGCTGTTAATGTACTGTTTAAGCACTGTTTAAGGTTATAAAACCATATCACTTTGGCAGGATGTAGTTAAGACAAATAACTTCATACAAATCTCTTTCCAAGTTATCAAAAATATGAGTCATAAATGTATAGTGGAGTCTGAGAATAGGTTGCACAATGGCTATGTTGTACGTGATTGTACTGAGATACTATCAGAAAGCTGGTGGTAAACTTAATCTTACTACAAAGCAGAGGAATCAAGACACACTGTATGAAAACCAGTCAACATAGCTGACCGTAAGTGCTGGCACTGAACAGTGTAAATACAATTTCATTTAACCTATCAGTTTGTTCTCAGCTGTACAGCAAGAGGCTATGGAAAAGATCCCAGGAGAGTCAGATATGCAGATATCCCCCCTGCCCCCCCGCCTCTAAAATGGACACAATGACTGTGCTGGCATTAAGGAAAGTACAGGCACTTTCTGAGGAGATGTCTCTAGAAGAAGCCTGTCCTCTCATATGAGGACATGTGGAGATGGTCAGGAGTAAAGGCCTGGATGACTGTTACCAGATACAGTATGGGTGCACTACTTCCCTTGTGTGTTAGGGTTATCAAAAAGACTTTATTAGGTCAGGTTCTGAGCAACCTGATCTAGTTGAAGATGTCCCTGCTCACTGCAGAGGGGTTGGACTAGATGACCTTTAAAGGTCTCTTCCAACCCAAACTGTACTAGGATTCACCAGGCACAATCCCTACCTGAACTAGCCTGAATCTAGTGAGTGCGCACTGATCCCTTCTCAATGGGTATCTTATTCTGAATGTCAGGCAAAACTTCCTGTTAGCAGTTTCCAAACCCTCTAGATGACAGCCCTATCTTTGATTTCACTTCCAACCCCACTATCCTATTTTTCAGAGCTAACAATTCTACTAGCAGTGAAACATCATCTGTGACCCTTTATGAAGTTCTAATTCTTGGAACAACTATTTAGTTGAAAACTTTATTATGGAACAGAGAAAAAGATAGCTATTTATTAATATTGCTCATCTTAATGCACCTTGTTGTTCACATCAGATTTGTGTTGAATGATCCACTTTGTTCTGGGATTTTGTCAAAGCAATGATAAACATACAGCTAATGCAAATGGTCACTTTATTGTAAAAGGTAAACCAAGAGATTATTTTCCTTAGCTGTCTTCAATCACCCTTATGTTGTGTTGCAAAGACTAGAGAGTAAAAATACATGTGTTCAGAACAGTGCCTAAGGGCTTTTGACTTCTTACTATTAATGTATCTTGGAGAAATGTTCCCAGTGAATGAGTGCAAACACTATATGAGCTGTAGTAGTTACCCTTCTATGGTACCTCCTAACTCTCTATGCTTCAGCTTTTCAAGATTGGACAAAGCTGTTGGTGATCTGATCTGGCACTGGTGATTGAGTGGGGAGTTGGAGCAGGTGAATTCCAGAACCCTTCTGACCAACTCTTCTAATTTTTTTTTTTTTTTTTTTTTTTTGTGATTGTACAGTCTTTGACTTACTACCTATCAGAACAGTGGCAACATCTGAGCAGAGAAAGCAATATTCCAAGTAAAGCCTACAGACTATCAGGAAACTTTCATGTCTGTTTAGACCAAAAAAAAAAAAAATACAGCTGAGGCAATGAGGAAGCTTTTTTTTTTTAAAAAAATGATCCAATTTTGTGGGTAGATAAAGAATTATGGTCTGAAGGCTGGGATCCAAGCACTGTTCACCTATGCTATATTCATACTAAGCAGGTAAAATGAGGGAATAAAAGATTGCACTAACTTCTGATAGTCACATTCTTGATTACTACATTTCTGTTACAGCTAGTAGAGCACTGTCAGAAGCTTTCTAAAATTATTATACAGACTGGTGCCAGCACTATTTTAATTATTGCAGTTGAGCCACAGCTGATTGAACTTTAAGAATTGAACTTCATCCATACCTTTCTGTAACAACTCTCCTCCCTTTGCACTGGAGGCCAGGAAATTTCAGAGTGGTCTA